GGGTAGGGCAATTAAAGTGTTATCAAAAAAAAAAAAATTTCATATCCGGGGCTATGACTGAATCCATAGTCGAGCCATTTCTCGTAAAATCTACAAAAATGCTATCCCTGAATTCGAGTAGCTACAAACGCAGCGTATATTTTGATTGCTTCCGGTTGTGGAAATTCGGATTCAGTGATCGAATTATCGTAGGTTTTACAAAAATCGGTTTCGCGATGGATTCACTAATAGCCCCCCGATTTCTTTATTTATGAATGAACTTTGTTGAATTAAACAAAGAGGGATGAGAAATGAATTATCTTAAGACAGCATCAGCAGTTTCAGTGTTGCACCCTTGGCATCAATTTTGGTAGCCAATGAAGGTATCGTTAGCTGCACGCAAGTGGCTCCGCGGTATTTTGGCCCACTCATGGAGAAGCGCTTAGTTGAGATGTTCCGACACACTGGTATTTTTGGAAGCCAACCAACAGGTTTCCATCTGGAGAATTCGACAGCCATTGTGTGCACGGAATGAAGTTTGGAAAGTTGGTTCTTAGGCCGTTATTGATTCACGCGTACTTTATGTGACAGTGCTGAATCCTGCTGGAATGTCCAAGGCCTGCGACCGAAATGTTTGGCTGCCCAAGGGTTGCCCCTTTATATGTACTTTTCCTTTGAATTTATTTTGTACAAAAAATACGTGCGGAAAGCGTAACCAGCCTTTATGGTGGCGCAAACCATAACTATCGGTGGCGTCTGCTTTCTCCTGGCCATTAAAATTTTCTGCTTATCTCTCTGGCAAGAAAATTAGACTTTTAAAAAATACCAGAGTGTGGAGCATGTCAAACAAGTGATTCTTCGGCACTTGCGGGAGGCATGCGCTGCCTTCAATGGTCGTTTGAAGGCCAAGAGTTCTAAACTGAAAACCGCTGATACACTTTTTGAGATAATTAGTTTGTCAGTCCGTTATATTTAATTCAACCAAATTCTTTCTTAAAGCTTGGTATAAAAGCTCTCAAGAAAAACGAAAAGTTCATATAAAATGACATTCAAGAAGTGGAAAGCGATTTTTTTCTATAAAATTTTCTAAACTAAATTTACTTTTCCAAGCAACAGAAATCATCAAAAGTATTTCTTGAGAATTGGTAACACTTCAATTGCCCTACCCTGTATATGCATAGCTTATATCGGCGAACTACATATATGTATGTAGACTTTTTGTATTAAAAATGAGACATAACATTTTGCAATTTTTGTTTGCTTAGAAGAAAGGATCACTTTTTTATGCATTAGGTGTATAGATGACTTTTGTCTTTAAATTTTTGGAGTTTTAGATTTACTGTAGTCATACTACTGTTACCTTAAGTTATCGTTGAATTTCTGTGGACGATTGAAAGTTTACTCCAGTATTCAACTGACTTTCTAAAACCTCCGGGCATTTTCCCATTGTAGTTAGATATGGGCGCTTGAGTAAAAATTCCATGCTGACCATTCAGACGTTTTTCACATTCTTACCGCGGGCCCTGAAAAGATTTTATGAATTTATGGAAGTTGCGGGTTTTATCGATAGTTTCCGGAAAGATTTTTAAAACCCCTATACGGACCATTGTGAAATAAGAACCGCAGGTCGCGATGTATAGTAAAACTGCGTTTTTAGTTTCTCCTTGACGTCAGATTTTTTTTTACAATGACTGTGATTTCATGGATATGGTTAATTAAAAATGTATTACAAAAATTGCATGTAATTTTAAATAACAGTATGGGTATTAAATAAAAGCGAAAATTCTGTAGAAGGACGAAATTCAGGAATGTGGTCGTGCGCACATTAGTCCTTAAAATATATTATTCCAAAAGAAAGTAACTATTGGAAATTTTCAAGTGTAATCAAGGACATTTTGAAAGAACAATACCTATTCTTACTTGTGCACTAACGTTTTTTTTCAATTCGCGCTGCTTTTTTAATACATTTTTTTGATGATAATAACCCCGAAATTTCAGAGCCATATAAAAAAATCCTGACCTCAAGAGAAAAATTTAAATGCAGTTTTACTATATTTGGCTTAAGTTTTGCGAGCATATTGAATTTTTTTGGGTAGAATTGACTATCGCACCTTGAAACTCATGCCGTCTTTGGGTCCCAAAATATTAAAAACCGAAACGTATTTATGGAAATGTGGTGTGAAAACCATCCGCTAGTCATGGATCAGTAGTATACATACAAAACTTTCAAGCTAAATAGTTTGTATGCAGTTTCTCATCCCCTTGTTGAACAACGCTTGCCTAACTTTTCCTTCCCTAACTTGCTTGCTTGCGTTTTCCATGCCATCATCAATTACTTTGCTCTTTCACTGTCAATTTTTTTTGGCTTGCGCCTTCAAACTGCTACAGTTTTAGTGTACGCTGCACGCTCTCTATTTTGTAAATTCCCTTTCTTTCTTTCTTTCTTTCATTCTTTTTTGCTGTCACGTTTCGTTTAGCTGTTACACACATACATAAAAATGGTAGTTTTGTTTGTTTCTCTTTAAATACATATTGTACATATATAAAATTATAGGTACATATACATACATATAGCATAGTAAACATAGTACTCATAATGTTTCGAATTAATTAAATATTTTCTTTTATTTATTAATAATAATTAATTAATTAATTATAATAGCTTTGTCATATTCCATACAATTTTACATACAATTACTTGAAATATTTTAAATTTTTCCTCTTTTTTTTTGTATTACCTTGCTGTTGTTTTACTGCATTAAATTACATACTTTTCTTTTAAATAATTTCAATTAATTTACTTTTATATATTTTTTTAGTTTTAATTTTCATTAGCGCCTATTTACTTCTTAGCATTTTATTAATTTTCTTTTCTTTTATAATTATTAATTAGTACGTAATATACATATATTGCTATATAAATATTTTGTTTTAAAATGAATTAGCACAAAATAATGTCTTTTGTTTGTTTTGTAGATTTCAGCTTGTGCAACAGTGTGTGTGATTTGCCAACGCGCGCACACTGCTTTACATACCTAGGTGTAGATATCTATACGTTAAGTGATATTCCACATTTTGCCGCTGCAAAACGGCCGCTGCCACTTGCACTGCTGCAACAATTGTTGCATTGACGCGCGTCATTCGTTTACTAAATTTTTGTAGGTGTTTTACTTCGCTAATGGCCGGCCATATGACGCGCTTTGCTCTGCCTCTAATTCTTCTCTACTGCTACTTCTTCTTATTCGCTACTTCTTCTTCTTCTTGGCTACGGCTCTTGTCAGCTGTGAATTTTCCAGCTGTTTTGTTTACATCTACTTCTACTTTACTTTAAATTATTTAATTTTTTATTTTTATTTTTATTTTTTCAACTACTACTAATTGAATTTTTAAATTCAATTCAAATTGCACACAATTCTGCTAAACTAATACACAGTAGTTTTTTTATCTCATTTTATTTTTAGTCTACAAATATATTGTTGTTGTCTCTGTCCACTTCTCTGCCTCTTTCACTCTTTCTCTATTGCCATCTTTCCGCGCGATTTCGCCAGGATTTCTAGCAAATTTTATATGTACGCGCATACGGATGAGGGCGCTAGGGAGAGGGAGAGCTGAGATTGTTAGATGTTTATGAAAAAAAAGGTTTTGAAGCAGTTCGGCCTCTTCCTCCCACATGCAGTTTTTTGCATTTTCTGCTACATTTGTAATGTTTTAAATATTTTTAGAGAATTTCTAGTTTTACTCTTTTGTGTTGTTGCAATCACATATGCATTTGCAATAATTGTTTTTTTTTTTTAATTTTTTCCTCTAGCTTTTTTGGCTATTTTTTCGTTTCAAATTAATTCATGTACTTCCGTTTTTCGCTCTCTTTCGCACAATATTGTCAAATCAAATATATGTATGTATTACACCCAACAAAATTCAATGCTATTTTTTCTAATTCTCCCTTTCTTGTTAGCAATTATTTCATTGGGTTTAGTTTTGCTTTATTTTATCGCTTTAATTTTGTATTTATTTGCTTTAATTTAATTTAATTTTATAAGTAGTTATGTATGTATGTGTATTTAAAAACTAATGTTTACGCAATTTCAATTTTACAAATTCATTAAGCAAATGATTTTGGGCGAGTTATCGTAATAATTAAGTATAATATTAATAATAAGTATGAGTACAATGGGAAACAAATGATGAGAAATGTAGTAGCGCGTGGAAAAAATTATAATTATAAAAATTAAAATCTAATTTTGAAATACATACAATTGAAGAGTACCACGCTCAACAGCTGGCTTAAGTATATTTACATACATACAAATTAATACATATGCGCCAAAGCGTACGTCGTAGGCACACTTTTTGAAGACACCATTGCCTATTTTTAGGCGCTTAGCCTTTAAAAAGTAATTTTTTGTTTGCCTTTCTTTTCATTCAAGGCAGCTTACTTCTGCGATTCTTCAATTTCTTATACATACATATGCTGTAGGCATGTATGCACGTCAATACATACTACATATTTCAATCCAGTCAAAATTGTCGTCAAGCGCGCAGCATTGCTGCGCTGTGCGAAAAATTCGTTAACAAAACCAAAAATTAGTGCGCAAAAATGAAATAATTATTACGTAGATATATAATATTTAAATATAGCTAAGTATACATACATAAGTATAGTATATAATAATAATAATAATAATAATAATTAAATTAAGTTGTATAATAATAATTGTCTCATTTGAATACCAACGAATTATACTAAAAAAAGTGCCATTGTTTTGTAGTTGTTATTATTGTTATTGTTGCCGCTGTGTGTTGTCCAAATGAAAAACGAAATTCTTAGTCATTTGCGCTGCTTGCTTTCACAGAGTCTACGCAGTTTTCAGAGATTTACTGCGCGCTTTTTCTTGCGCTTGCTCTCGTTCTTCTCCTTTTACATAACATTCGCTTACTTGCTTCTTATAATTTTTCTTCCATTTAGCATTTAGCAGCGCTGTGTCTATCTCTGTCTTCCGCATTAGCTTTTGTTTTATATCTTTTTATTGTTGTATTTGCTTTTTATTTTTTATGTAATCTTGTTTGCTGTCAATGTTGTGTCATCTATTTATATATGTATGTTGATAGTTGTGTTCTTGTTGTTGCTTTTTAAGCTTAGAGGATTTGTATTAAATCTCAATTATATACGTCCGCCGTTTTAACTTCCGCTTCATTCTCTTTCTCGATCATACCCTCATTGGTGGCATTATTCCAAGCGCCATTCATGCTCTTCGACGATGAGAAGCAGAGTTTCATGATGAATGGGAATTTGGTACCTGAAACGGGAGTAAAAAAAGAGAGAGAGAGCGGGAAGGGAAGAAGAGTTAATTTTTTCTACAAAAAACTTAGTGCCATTTTCACAAGTAGGTTCTAAAATTTATCTGCTCCTCAAACACATTTTTAGAACACAATTTTTGTTTGAAGGGCCAATAAATTTTAAACCCTACTTGAGAAAATGTCCTTTAAATGTGTAGCTTGGAAGCTACTAAGGCCCGAATTTACAGTCGTATAGTTGACTAAGGAAAATCATATCGCCTGAAGTTATGTAGGGAGACTCACGGGTGCTTTAAATCCTAATAAAACGAAACTCGTTTTGTTCACTAAGAGGCATACGGTGCCGCACGCCACTCCTCTCTCGGTACGGGGCTTTCGCCTCCGCTTTCTGATAGGGCGAAGTACTTGGCCTTTATTCTTGATAGGAAGCTGTCGTTGAAGCCTACTATAGAGAAGAGAGCTGGGAAGGCTTGGGTGGCTCTATATAGCTGCAGAGTGGTAATAGGTAAGAGATGGGGCTTAAGGATATTTCCTGACTCTATGAAACCATAGTCAATTCCATTATGTTTTATGAAGTCTTCGTCTGGTGAAATGCACTGGAGGAGGCTACGTTAGTTAGAATGCTAGAGCGAGTGCAACGAGCTGCCCTAATTGGAATCTGGCACTCTAACGTCATGCTTAACATAGCGCCTGTCGATATCGCAGGTATACCGGCTGCATAAAGATCGGCGGTCAAACATAGCGGTACTGGTTGCCTGACGGGCTCGGATTCTGGACACTCAAGTATTCTCAGGGGTTTCGATCTCATGCCGGGTAACACGGATCACTGCATGCCTAGCCTGGCAACAGCTAGCTGTTCCTCTACACATTATTGCTATTAGTGCTATCGCAGGAAACTGTGGGGCTGATGAACTGATAAAGGGCGGTAATCTTGAGGAATTGTCGTCAAGTAGAGAGATGGTAGAAGTTCCCTTGACTACTTGCGGACATCTCTTGGAAAGATAGGTCTTTGGTCAACTCAGCAAACGCTGGCGGAAAACCAGGGCATATGCTACGGCGAGGTCATTCTGGCCGAGGGTTGACCGCGATCTTATTGGAACCCTTTTTGTCACAGCTGTATGGAGCACAATGATGTAGAATCATTTCAGCATTTCCCCCTAGACTGCCCATCCTTTGCTAGATTGCGGTGTAGGCACTTGGGTTCCAACCTTCTGACGAGTCCAGAGGAGTTCTCCGGTACTAACTTTTTGCGCCTACGAATCTTCGTTTTTGGCGATGCGTGCACTAACTTAGAAGTTAAGTTGTGTTTGCATTGTTCAACTCAACGCACGGTTGCACGAAAAAAAGTTGAATGGCTAAATGTTGGCTGGCGACCAACTTTGTTGAAAGCGATTATTTGAAAGGCCGTTCAACCAAAAGTTGAAAGCAAAGTTGAACAATGCAAACACCTTTTTATGGCGAATATTTTGATATTTTTAGCCATTCAACTTTTTTTTCGTGCAACCCTGCGCTGAGTTGAACGCAAAGTTGAACAATGCAAACACACTTTTACCGTTTGCAGTGGTATGACAAAGGACCACAAGCGGTAGCCACCTAACCCTGACCAAACCTAACCAAGAGTGATGCTGATTTTTGATGATGAGAAGATTTGGATAAGTAAATATTTTAATGGTTGCAGCTTCTGTACTTTAGAATAAGTTATTTATTGGTTTCATAACCTTGTGCATAAGTGGTGTCTCACTAAGAATCTACACATCGGCTATTATTCTCTAATTCTTTAGATTTACGAGTTCTTTTCAACCAAGGAATTTATTTCTGTTTAAAAGCAAACAATTACTCACCTTTTCCCTCGATTGGCAGATGGTTGCACTTCATGATGGCCAAAACGGCCTGTGAAATATTGGGAAACTCAATTAGACCCGATGAGGAACGCTCCGTTTTAAGTGGGAATAATCGCACCGATGTGGCGGGCACTTCTTTGATATTGAAAATGCCTATAAGCTGGTCTTCGGTCAAGCCAGGCGGTGTGTTGAAAAAGTGCAGAATCTGTGTGCGTGTATGGAGAGAAAATAATTCGAAGCATATCGTTAAATGAGAAATAAAATACCGAATTAAAATACTATATGTACATACATTAGACTGAACCTTCGAATCTAAAGTAACCACAAAAACCTTACACCCATTATAGGTAGAATTTTTTAAGTTAATAAATTATTATTTTTTTTTTTAATATAGTTCACACTGAAACAAAAACTATGTAAATAAAAGTTTTAAACTTTTTTCAAATTTAGAAACAATCATCAAATTAGTATCAAAATAGCAAACTTTTAATCAAAAATTCGGGTAAGCATTTTAATAGCCCATTTAATGATGTGCAGGTTTGTAGTAGCTCAAAATTCTGGTAGCTTTTTTCATACGATGTTGCACGTATGAAAAAACCACATAAGACCATCGGGAAAAATTTTCAAAAATCACCTAGAATTTTGGGTCACTTCAAAATTAGACTTTATACTAAAATTAAATCGGCTATTAATCTGCACACCCGAAATTTTTATAAAAATTTTGATGAAAAATTTAAAAAATTTGATGAAACATTTAAAAATTTTTATAGTGTTTTTGTTTGACAGTGTGAACTATACCTATTTAAAAAAGAAATAATTTTATTTCTTTTTATAAATTTACAAAATTCTTTATTTTTTTATGAATTTGGATGTTAGACTAGATAAGGGGGCGAACTTTTGTTTGTTTGCTTTTATGGTGGCACGGTCTAATGTACATACATGTGTAAATATATTTTTCTTTCTTTCACTCACCTTGCTCGGTGGTTGTATGCGATTTTTGCTTGCCTGTGCTGGCGACAGGAAGCGATTGTTCTTTGAGCCGGTATACTCCTTAAAACTGGGTGTGTGATCGGGTAATAAAAATGGATTTATAACTTCGGACAGGAAATTCTGTTTGGAGAAGGCAATTTGGATTTTGCCACCATTGCCGACGGGAATGTTGTTCAAATGTTGGACACAGCGTTCGACGGCGACCGAATCGCCCATTTGTACCATGGCGGTGCCCTCTTTGGTTTTCAGGAATTTAATCTGTCGTAATGGGGAAGAAATCAAAAGGGATGTTGCTTAATTAGTATTTATAAAATGTTTTCTACGAGATACGCATTAAAAAAATATTGTGAATTGCGTTGAATGAAAAAACAAAAATTTGAAGATGTACATATTACTATGTGATCAGTTTTGAGGTACGGGAACAACGCTATTCCCATAAACTGAGAAGAGTTTACGTGCATGTTATCAACGGGAATTATATAACAACAAAACCCTGTGGAACGTTTCGAAAGAGAACAAAATTCGAATAATATTTTCGGGAACATCTTAAAGAGAACAAAATGGGAACAAAATTCCCGGAACGTTCTGAACAATAACAAAACGGGAACAAAAGTCGAACTAACTATATCTCGAAGAACAATTTGAAAATTAAAGTGTCAGGAACTTTCTGATAGAGACCGAAACGGGAACAAATCTTCTCTGAACTATAATTATGCAAATTAAGTCAACGAAAGGCTTATGACATGAACTTTTCTTGCATAGCAAATGGAAAAACTTTCCACAAATGGAAAGATCCCCCTGACGATAAACGATCTGGAAGTTGAAATAATCCAGGTTCAGCCTGGCTTAGAATTAACACTCAAAATGATTTTTCATCCTAACACGCTGATACCGTCTCATTAGTAATTTTAAGTTCTCCAAACTTTTGTTCTCTAGCTAAACGTTCCCCCATGAGTTTTGTTCCTATTTGATTCTCCTTGAAATCGTTTTCGAAACATTCGTTCTCATTTCGATATACTTAAATGGCAACGTTCCCGACAGTTTTGTGCTCACTAGTTCGTCTAGATAACGTTGTTGAGAGTTTTTTTCTCATTTTATTCTTTTTGAAAACGTTCAAAAACCTTTTGTTCTCATTTTGTTCCCGTTAAAACTGCTCTCAATACTTTGATTCCCGTTTGGTTATTTTGCTAGAACGTTCCTGACATTACGTTTAGTTCTCGTGTAGAACTAAACAAAAGCCCGAGCGTGTTCTCGGTCTCTGGATATAGGTATATCATTTGGTTATCTTGGGTTGATGAATTTAGCTCACTTTCCTCAGAGTAGTAAATCCAAGCTGAAAAATGCCATGTATGTATTTAAGTCTAAGTAGTAGCACACCTGCGGCGGCTGTAGGGTTGGACATTTTTAATAAGCAAGCACATTAGGGTGCATCACTAAAGAAAGTTGCGGGTTTTCCAACAACGGAATCCTTCAATTTATTATATCTTAAGATATCCGTCAAAACATTTTGGAATACTACTAAGACTTGCTAGACCGATGTCAAAATACCTCCAAAAATCGAGTTCTTTTAAAAAGAAAATTGGCGTTAAAAATGTTTTTTTTTTTTTTCAAAAAATCGGCTGTGATTCATAGAAGAGTTCAGACTTAAAAAGCCTGCATAAAAATGGTAAACATTTTTACCAACGGAATCATCATGCGATTTTGAAGATATTTTCAAATCGACTCAGCTCACGTAAATCTCAATATTTTTCCGAAATATATTGAGCGGAAGTCTAAAAATATATGTTATAAGTTTTATAATTCCGAAATGAGAACTGTGCCGATTTTTTTTTGTATGTAGTGATAAACCCTAATATACCAACATGAATTGCCATAAACGCTGAAAGCAATTTATTTCAATAAATGACTTCATGATAGATCTTGCTCAACATATGACCAAATTTTTTATATTTGCTATAAACTTTTCTTCTAACTTTTTGTGTTGTAAAAATTTTAAAGCATTCGAAAGTTGCGCATTGCATTACTAAAAGGCCACAAAACAAATTTATGTGAATTTTTGCGTCTTTTAACATCATTTTAATAGCTTTGACTTAATTAAATTTGCGCAATTTATTACTATTTCTGCATATGTGGCTCGCTTTTTCCAGCATGAAAATCGCAAACAAGGAAATTCCCCTACAAGCGGAAAGCCAAAGCAGCTTTGATTTTGGTGCTAGCCATGTTGCAAGCAACAAGCAAGCCACCAAACAATTGCGAGGCAAACATTGGCAAGCCAAGCAAAGCGGTGCAGTCAAGTCGTGGTACAACGGCTAATAGCCAATAGCGAGTTGGCCAAGTATGTACGAGTATATGCGTAGTAAGCGACCAGAGGCAACGAACCAGCTGGCTAGCGAGTAATAGGCCCAGATACATTTGTGGCCAGCCAGCGAAGCCGGTTAGCCCAAAGTGGCCGAAGGTAATTAGCTGAGCAATTGATGGTTGAAAATTACTGCGCCTGTATTAGCGGTGTGATGTGTATGTATCAAAATACATATGTACATTGCCAAATGAATACATACAAAGATTTAAGAGCGTGTAAAATGGTCAGACTTATGGTACGCTGATCGATCAAATGCAGCTGATACGAATTGTTACAAGCACTCAATAATTGTATGTATGCTGCATACGTAAATACATATGTGTAAAATCACATGTGCGCATGTTGCATGCGATGGTGGCAGGTTCAATGTGCTCCAGCTACAGCACCATCGCCAGCTGCAAAGTTTATTAGAAAACCGAGCTTTGATTAAATCGCAAAATCGAAAAAAGAAATAGAAAACAAGTAGCCGCATTGGAGATTTTCACTTTCACTTATTGCCAGCGAAATTGCTGCGTTGCTGTTTTTGTTGTATTTGCTGTGCAACAAGGTGATGTGCTGCTGCAATGTTGCAAAATATTACGGTATTTATTGCCTTCTACTGGCGCTGCTGCTGAGGCTATTCCATTTGTTGGATTACAACACGCAACTGGTAGCAATTAATGCAATTGAAATGCAATGTAATTTGCTGAAGCTTTACTTTTTACTTTTTACATCTACATATGTATGTATACATACATAATTATTTCGCGGAAAGTCCTTACAGAAAAAGTGTTTTTTTCTTTAGTTATGAGCACATATGTATGCCCATGCACCACGTGTATGGGGAAGTACTCGTATTAATTAATTGAAAATTTTAAAGCAATGAATTTGAGATAATTTTCAAGCCGATAAATGTATTCAACTTTTATGAGTAAGGGTAAGGAGATTAAAAAGTAGATTGAAAATACAATATTACAAATTATGTTGCAATAAATAACTTTTAGTGTAAACCAAAAAATAATAATTTAAAACTTAAGGACTGCGCAAATAAAATTGTTCGGTGATTAAAGGTTTTAAACCAATTGTCACATTTTCAAAAATAAATGAGGCATTTTATTTTTAGAATTAACCACAAATTCGCAAAGAGTGGTAAAGATAAAAGATTTATAATTTTTTAATAAGAAGTTTGGATTTTTGCAGAACCTCGTCATATAGCGTTTTTATACTAGTGTCTAACGCAGCTATTTTAATAGCCCACTATCTTAAAGTCTTGAAGGCCTTTGGTCACATTTTTGTGTGGCCTTCATTTCGCTTTCTACGAGAGCCCAGCTCCTCTTATTAGGCCAGAGTTTGGGACTGTTTGTTTGATTGGCTACTTTTGCAAAAAAATTTATGTTATTCCTTTAAGCCCCCACCCGTCTGGAGAGGATACCACCCTGTTTCTTTTTAGCTTAAAACTTTTAACGCGGGAGTTGACCGAAGTCCAGTTTTAAATATGTTTTATTAGTCATTATTAAAAAATACCACATTTGGTGTGAACATTGGGGTAATGTAAACGGGTGCGGTTTTTGTTTTAAAATGTATTTAATCTAACAGAATTTTATATATTATAACTCGATAAGGTTTAAGTCTTGCCATAGCTTGCATTCGCTGAACTGTGGATAACCGTTTTCCAATTCTCTCGCGCGATCTTCTTCTGATAACCCGTTTTTTTTTTTCTAATTTAGGTAAAGAGCCTTATCCTTAAGCTGGTGCGAAATGATCTTTTTTGATGATTAGCTTACTATGTTAGTTTAAGCGAAGGAATCCGTTCATTGATTTTTGAAGGAAAATTAGAATTTTTTGGTATATTTAATTTTAATATGATTTTTGATCTCGAAATTGTCGGATTTTCAACAAATTTGTTCAACATTATTTTTTGAGCAGCCACTGCCAAGACGATTAAACTGTCAAATTAAAAGCCAGTACTATGAAATTCAAACCTCATAATGGTAGATCTATTGTCTAACGATCTGCATTGAAACTTTTTAATACATTCCAACAATTGCTGTACTGGAACGTGTAGCGATTTTGAGTGAACAATACTTTAGCAGCTAAGGTCCGCCTCAGTGCAATAAAAAACGTAATATGTATATAAATTTCTATAAATTCAAAGTCTAATACACCGAGAAAAAAAACTGTACATCCAACAATTTTATATGTATTTGGAACAACTTTTATTGGTTAAATCGTACCCAACAACTACTTGCATTTGAAGCAACAGCGCAAAGACTGTTGATTTTTTAACTTAATTAGTACTTAACCCAAGAATTTTCGTATTTAGATTAAAAGTGTATAAATTGTTGTTTTAAATACTTTTTATTTGAGTTAACAGTGGAGGTCGTTGCTACAAAAATATGAAGCTGTTGAATTAAAACTTGGACTTTGAGGTCCCAACGACGAACACCTTTGGCGGTAAGAACTTACGTATTTCATTCAAATACTAATTTGTTAGGAAAAAAGTGAAAATTGTTGGAAAAAAGGTGGAATCTTTCTGGCGTACGCTGAGAAAAATTTTAATGTAAACTCA